GAGATAGGATAGTTTTTCTGCCGATGAGTGCAACCACAATTTTTTTTTTTGCGAATTTAATGATTTTTAATAGGACATGACAAAGGTTCGTCGAAAAGGGCAGGACAACGTCTGCCTGGCAAGCTAGCAGACCCGGCCACGCGTTGCTGTGGTTAACGTCTTTGTTATATTACATTTTATTAAACTATTTAAGTGGAACGGTAGGAGAACATCAATCATGGGGACCACCATGCTTTTTTTACATAGATGCCATTTGTAAAAAAATGGCGAACTCCACGGCTGATTTTCTACTACCGTTACCCTTAATACTGTTACGGTAATAATGTAAAGGAGGGGAGATTGAAATATATTGCCTATGAGGATAACTCACAAGGAAGCTTCGCAGCGAATTAAGTGAATTAGTTTTTAATTATTAGTGTTTTTAGTTTTAATTTGTGTAAAGAAATTAAAGTTTAATTAGGTAATTTTATCGCAATTTTTTTGTACGAACCTAAGCTGTAAAATAAATGAAATTGTTATTTACGAACGAAGACTGTAACTTTAAAGCTGGTATAAAATTCCGCTGGATTGGGATTTGAAGGAGGACTTTGAACACGATTGATCAAAATTTTTGTACAATTGATATCAAGCAAAAATCATTACAATAGAATTAATTTTAAAATTTATAATTTTTTAATTCAATTTCTAACAAATGAGTATATTACAAACTTTACAGTAAATAACATGTGACACTTAAATTTATAAATGAGGTAGGTACGGCAGATAGTTTTAAATCTTTAACAATAATATTTATTATTTTGAATTACAAATACTTTTAATTTCAATTTATTTTAGCACTAATCGGTGAACAATATTTTTGGTTAACCTGTTTTTAGCTAACACAAATAGATTCGACGGTTTTCCTACTCGTGAACATGCTACATATAGTTGCCCATGAGAAAAACATGGATTTTCCAAATCCAAACCACAAATAGACATTGTTTGGCCGTGAGATTTATTTATAGACATGGCAAAAGCTAAACGAATTGGAAACTGTAGCCTTCTGAAGGGTATCGTAGAATCTGACGGTATCATTGGAATACGTGGCAACAGAACCACTTCTCCTTTAAAATTTCCAGTTAAAGTGGTTGCCTCAAGGATATTTCCAGCGATCCTTTTGATGACCAAACGCGTACCGTTGCATAATTGAGGTGGATTCAAATTATGAAGGAGAATAATAGGTGAACCAATCTTTAGTCGAAGATTATGTGGTCGCATTCCAGGTATATCTAGTGAATTTAAAAATTCGATTGGAAAATTTACACTTTCACTTTCATTAACAACAGTATCGATTAATTTAAAAGACATCAGATCGCCAGGTGATAACTGTTGTATCTGGAAGTTAATTTCGTCAACATTTTTGGCTGCCAAAATAGCCCGATCACTGAGCCAGTTATGATTCAAGTAATTACTCTGTATATCAGGAAAGATACTCTAAATAAATTCATTTTTTCCCTGTAGAACAGTGCAGAAATTGTCTGGCAGTTTAATGCGTTGCGTATTTGGTTACAGTTCTATTTTACCGTTCCCAATATCTAGTGATTGTTCGGAAAATATTTTGCTGATGGTCAAACGAAGTGTTTCTACACTTCGCCATAAGAATGATTGTTTCAAACATGCATTAATCTCATCCGCGAAAGTAGAGCGAAGTATAACCGGTAAGGTCTGTCGGAAATCACCAGACAAAAGTAAGATAGAACCACCGAAAAGTTTATCGTTACCGTTTAAATCTTACATAGTTCTATGCAATGCTTCGAGTGAATGTTTATGAGCCATTTTGCACTCATTCCAAATTATTATTAATCATAAAGCTCTTTGCGAACCGCAACACTGCAGCTATTCCACTATTTTTTTTATGTTACATATTGCGTTTGGTTTATTATGAATGTCCAATGAATGGCAACTTCAATGTTGAATGTGCCGTTTGCCCACCATCTAGCAAAGTAGCTGCAATGCCTGACGATGCAACTGCCAATGCTATTTTCTTTTGTGATAGTACTTTGGCAAGAATCAGCGATATTAAAAATGTCTTACCGGTTCCACCAGGTGCGTCCAAGAAAAAAAAAGCCGTGGTCAAATTGTTTTTCTCGCTGTAAATCGGTGTTTTCCAAGTCGGTGGCTGGGCGATCAGGTGATGGCATACCATAATGATTAAGAGGTAAATTTGAAATTAAAACACATAAATTCTCGATCAATACTAACGCTTCATATATATCTCTGGCGTATAATCTATGTTTTGGCATTGATCTCTTTGTCTAATTTGGTGCAATATGTCTTCTGCAATATAATTTTTATATTTTTCCCACAAATTTTGTGCTTGCGATGGACAACAGGTTGTTAAAATAATTGCAAACAGCTGACGAATGTTATTAGGCGTTGATGTCAACGCAGCATCAGCAAGCGTTAAGTCCCAATGGTTATCGTCTTCTAGCAATTGCAGTTCACGACATGCATCTTGGTACTTGTATTGAATACTTGAACATTAACTGTTCGCAGAAATTCAAAAGACGTTGGTCCGCGAACATTCACCAACAACAAACGTAAATAGAAGCACTCACGTTGCTTTGGATGTACCGTGTAATGTCGCCCCAATGTCTTAGCTTTGAATATGCCTGTAATGGAAGGATGTGGTTTTCCTTGTTTTCGTGGCTCCCATTTTTTACCAGATTTGTTCCATGTGAAATAACGTGGAACATCAGTATATATCAATGTCTTTGCGAATTGGCCAAAAATATCAGATTTTTGACACAATGTAAAAAATTCAGTTAGTGTCGTTTTTGGAGCCTCAAGCGCTCTTTGGATAACATTTTCTTCAGTGAAGTATACACGTTGACCGTTTTCAAGATGAATTGCTAGATGCTGTACAGGAGGGTCTCTTTCGTGTATGGGAAAGCTGAGAATATGCCAAATAACTTCGTTGCCGCTAATGTATCTACCCATTTGGTACCGTGATATTTCGTAATTTTTATTTATATTTTGACTTCAAATATGGCTTAATCACTGCCTTTATTTAAATACTTACAAATTTACTTTATTGATTTTACAGAACTGCAAAGCTCGATACTAATATGAGCTTCATAAGTTTTTGAAAGTAATGGTGAGTATGGTACCATCCACTGATTATCAAGTTTTACTTGATTTATAGAATTCAGCAGTCGCATTGTGAATCTGTGGCCACCGTTCTCAGTATTTCTGCGGCGATACATTGGATAACCGTCAATATCCGTGATAGTTTCATTCGTATGCTGCTTTGGAAAATGTTTCTTACGTTTTCCATTTTCCATGCATGGTGACGTCATGTTGAAAGTACCACATGGCCCGTGTATGATATGTTTGGTAACAATATCAAATAATTCTTGATCAATTGATGGTTCTGGAATTTCGGCTGAAATTATTTGATCTATTTCTTCTGGACGGATTTTATCTTGAAGCCAAATTAAAATGTGGGCATGAGGCAAACCTCGCTTTTGCCACTCGATTGAATATAGCCAACAACGTGTGATACCAAAACTGAATATTTAACAATGAAATCAATTAAGGATTTCAATTTTTGTTTAAACACACGTGCAGTTATATCATGACGATGAATTGCTTGTTGTCCTGGTAATAGTAAATTTGTATCTCTGTCCAATTCGGATTACATGTGAATGTAATAAACAAATCTGGTCGGCCGTAATAACATACGTAAATCATCGCATCTTGTATGTATTCCTGCATATTCCGTGGACTGCCGATGTAGCTTGAAGGTAAAATGAAAGCATTACCGATGTCTTTGGGATTTAAATTTCCGTCGATGTTTCCAACAACAGCATCTCGTAAGTGAATGTATTCTTCCGAACGTAATTTAGCCTGGTTGTATCGAATCAATTGCAAGCGTTCGCTTTCAACCTTAGCATACATATCAACAATGTATTGATGGAATAGCTGACGATATCGAAGGATATAGTTGTCCTGATATAGTCTTATCATCAATCGGTGTGCGTAGTAGTTCATTGAGCTAACGTTTTTATCTCTTTTAGCACCTAAATACATTAAAAAAAATAAATAAAATAAGAAATTAAAATAAGTACACACAGTAAGATATTAAATAGTTAATTGTCAAATTTACACGTAATTGGATCACACTGTTTGATGTTAAGGTGATATTCATCCTGTCCTTGCCAAAATATTAATGGATATTGTAGTGCGTTATATGAACGGTGTAGATCCGAAATCGTACTGACAGCGTTGTCTCGCCGTGTAATTTTTATAGCTCTTTTGTCAACTGGATCACCAACCATAATAATAGCGACCTCATCAAGAGTTGGAGCGTTGAAACTGCCAGCATGTTCACCCAATGGTACTTTGTCGGCTTTTATGACGACTTGATAGTTGTCATTTTGCAGTCTTGGCGAAACTCTTTTAATCAATCGAATTTGTTCATTATGATCTTCTAAAAATTTTTCTAGCATAATCACAATTGCTCTTTCTTCTGTTTGTTCAATGAAATTATACTGGCACCGAGTTGTCACGCGCTCTTCACAATTGCCCATAAAATAAATTTGAAGAAATTTCGGATCATTACCAGGCATTGGCATCAATGACCCAATTTGATGGTACACCTGGCCTTGTGTTTTAAATGTCGTTTCAAAATTACGTCCATCAGATGTGAAATCGCAAATTTTAGTTGCCCCAAATGACGTCATTTGGAAGCAAGAATTAAATTTGCGTATTTTACGCAAAAATAATTTTGAATCATCTGAATCGCCAGCAAGAAGGGATAATAAAGGTTCCGGCGGAGTGGGTAGAGGTGACAGCACAACTTTTCCCGATGCGCAGTACATGCCGGATGTTTCGTTCTGAAATTTCAATGCCTGACAATATTGACATACTTTATCCATTGTACCGATAGCGATTTTTGAATGCGCAGAGTAGTTAATATCTGGTGCATATTCGAAAGCAAGACGAACAAATGATGCTCGTTATGATGAGCGGCTTTCCCGCTGCCTCTGTCGTTCTTGTACTCGAGCTGTAGCTATGTTTTGCTCTCGTGCTGCTCTTGTTCTCATAATAGTCTGTCGCAGACGTTCGTCACGCTGTTCTTGATGTTCTTGTGCACGACTCCCTGCTATCCTGATTCTTTGATCTGCATTTCTTGTTTCGAATTGTTCTGCCGACTGATGAGCACTTTCAACACGTTTGCGTCGTGCCTCACTGCCCCTCGCGTTATTGAGATTAGATTTTTTCGGTGGCGTTTGACTGAAAATAATAATTTAAACTTTTAAATTAAAAAAAAAACTGAAAAACATGCTATTATATCACATTGAAATAAGGATTGAAAATAATTTTTAATAAAGTTTGCATAAAAAAATAAAAAATATTAATAAATCAATAACATGAGAAGCAAGAGGACAATAAATACCAACCATTTTAAACCTTTTTGGCCTCTCATGACACAACTTATCTGCAAATACAATAATGTAACTATGTGATAATACTTACATGTATGATATATTATTTTAATTAAAGAGTTTTGAACAACGAAGCACTAATAATTAAGAAGCAGGAATAATTTCACTGTATTATCTTGACTATAATATGAATTTAATTTATACTTTATTAATCACAATATTATTCCTGTAATTTTGACAAAACATGTCATCGCTAACATTTTGCAAAAATGTAAATTGCTTTATTGAGACTTTTTTGTTTTTTAAAGGAACCGTTTCAAACGTAGCATTGACGCATGCGCAGTACGGGTACGTACTGCGCATGCGTCAATGCGCTTGAAAGCGTATGTATCGTGACTTGTGCGTATGTGTGTGTATGTATTATATACAAATATAATTCGGAATAAAATAATATTGCGAATATGAATTGAAATGTAAGCTATCCTATCTCTCAAGTTGGTCCAAACTGCACACGTTGTGCAAATTTGATCAAAATCGGTTAAGTAGTTTAGGAGTCCATCGCGGACAAACAACGTGACACGTACTTTATATAGATAAAGATAGTAATGAAAAAGATCGAATCTAAAAAATTTATTGCAAATTTTTAATGTTATCCTATAGAGGAAATAAATTTACAATTTAATTAAAAATTTTGAAATTGAGTTTATTCGTAGGTCATTAAATTAATATTTCTCATCGTATTTTACCGTCTTTATTTAGCTTTTCATTAAGCCAAGTACAAATTTAAAAGCGACAATATTTTCGCTTTTAAACCGTGTATTTTACGCCGTGTAGTGGCGGTTGAGAATATCCACTACCCCATATCTTCCCGTGGGTGTCGTAAGAGGCTACAGAGAGAGACAGGCAGGAGATGGGTAGCAGCATCTTCCTGATAACAACAGTGATATAATAAAAAAACTGCGGTTGCCAACCCGCTCGTCAAGCGTGGCAACTATGGCAAATATCCCCCCATGAATAACGACGCAAACAATCGGTCCCCAGGTAGAAAAATTCTAAAAATTTTTCTAGCATAATCACAATTGCTCTTTCTTCTGTTTGTTCAATGAAATTATACTGGCACCGAGTTGTCACACGCTCTTCACAATTGCCCATAAAATAAATTTGAAGAAATTTCGGATCATTACCAGGCATTGGCATCAATGACCCAATTTGATGGTACACCTGGCCTTGTGTTTTAAATGTCGTTTCAAAATTACGTCATTTGGAAGCAAGAATTAAATTTGCGTATCTTACGCAAAAATAATTTTGAATCATCTGAATCGCCAGCAAGAAGGGATAATAAAGGTTCCGGCGGAGTGGGTAGAGGTGACAGCACAACTTTTCCCGATGCGCAGTACATTCCGGGTGTTTCGTTCTGAAATTTCAATGCCTGACAATATTGACATACTTTATCCATTGTACCGATAGCGATTTTTGAATGCGCAGAGTAGTCAATATCTGGTGCATATTCGAAAGCAAGACGAACAAATGATGCTCGTTATAATGAGCGGCTTGCCCGCTGTCTCTGTCGTTCTTGTACTCTGTCTTGTACTCGATCGAGCGGAACCAGGGCTCCAAAGCCTTTGTCAGAGATCTGTCTGCCAGTAAGAGCCAACTGTCAAAGCTGAAGACTGAATGTGGCAGCATCATTTCCGGAACACCTGACATTTTGAGTGAGATTGAGAGGTTCTATGGGCAGCTGTACATACACATCATCGTTGGAGCCACACGCAAGTGTGAGTAACGATCCAAGAGCAAGTCTTATCCGACACTATTCTGATGATATCCCGGACGTCAGTCTGAGCGAGATGAGAATGGCTCTCCAGCACCTTAAAAACGGCAGGGCCCCAGGCGAGGATAGAATTACAGCGGAACTTCTGAAAACGGGTGGAACACCGGTACTTGAGGTCCTTTAGAAGCTCTACAAATTCCATCCTCCATGGTGGCCTTACTCCGGAGGCGTGGAGCAAAAGTGCTGTGGTTTTGTTCTTTAAGAAAGGCGACAACGCTTTCTTGAAGAACTACTGACCGATTTCCCTTCTGAGCCGCGTCTACGTGCTGTTTTCGAGAGTCATTACGAATCGTCTCGCACGCAGACTCGACGACTTCCAGCCTCCTGAACAAGCCGGTTTCCGAAAACGCTTCAGTACCATAGATTACATACATACCTTGCGGCAGATTGTACAGAAGACCGAAGAGTACAATCTGCCACTTTGCCTGGCATATGTGGACTATGAGAAAGCCTTTGATTCCGTTGAAATTTGGACGGTGGTACAGTCCCTTCAGCGGTACCAAGTTGACTGACTGTCGGTATATTGAATTGCTGAAATGTTTGTACAGTAGGGCTACGATGGCTATCCGAGTACAGAACCAGAGTTCGAAATCTATCCAACTGCAGAGAGCTGTAGGACAGGGTGAGTTGTCAGAGTGTTAATTTTCTCATGATAGCTGGCTATTATGCATAGCGATTAGATTAACCATTTAAATGTCAAATACTATAGTGTTATTATAAAGTTGTAAATTGATTTTTAAAACTTATGGAGTTAAGGTGTCCTAAAAATGCAACTTTGTCTGATGGTAAAATTGTCAAAGAATCGTTTACGGTTCGTTGTAGAATCTTGCATATACGCAGCAGTACTAAGGCTTTAACTTCAAAGTCCTCCATGAATTTATTGGCAACAATGGGATTCAGAAGATGCAGGCGAGTGCACCTTCTCCATTAATTTGGTTGTAGAACTCTTCTTTTCTCAAAAAATAGACAAATGTTGGAGAATATCTCATTATTAGTGCATATTTTGCAGGCATGTCATTTTCTAGCTTCCTAGTTTCGTATTTGCAGGATTTAATAGATACACAGATAAATAATGACTGGACTCTCGCATCACCTAAAATAGCAACTTAATATTTCATTTGGTGATTGTTAAATTTTGTTACGGATCGCCCTAACGCCGTTCGAAAAATGAATGAAACGCGTTGGTCTTGCTTAAATAGGAGGCAAGCGGCGGTGAGGAGGAACTTGTACTTTTTTTGCTGTTTGTTGCCTTTTCGGTGGCTGGAGAGCGACTACGGTCCCTACCGGCCGGCCCGTCTTTTATATGATTTGGCCGCTGCTGGCCAGCGGACCCTTGTCTCACCCCCGCGCCTTTCTTTATTTGGTAAAAACTCTTAGTAAATCTAAAAAACAGAATTAAATGTGTGATATTCTTATAGCTACTTATTACATTATTATGTACACAATAATTATTTTACATATTAAAAAGGTTTAAACTTTATATTTGACAACTTTAGGCTGAGGACCCTGCCCCGCACCTCAGCACTATAAATATAAAACGTCGTGGCGCGGTGCGCGTACAGTCCGGTGAGTGTCCGGTGGTCCAGTCCAGCCGTCGTCAGTGATTCCGATCAGGTACCTCGCCGCATTCGGTCGCCTGCGACCCAACCGTTGTGCTATTGTTCGGTCGAGCCTATGCGCTCCCAGTGCGATAATAAGAAGAAAGAAGACAAGGACAGGACATTTTTACCTGCGTGCGCGAGTGCTTCGGTGTCGTTGTGCTCCGTTACGGCTGCCAGATGCATCGGGCCGCCGGCCCATTGTTCTGTTTCGTGTAGTGCTAGTGTAGTGCCCCACGTTCTCCGGATTTCCAGTAAAAACTGTAAGTAGTTTTTATTACACACCCGCTGCCTCAGAGGCAGCTATTCTATTTTTAATTTCTGTGTTCGCTTGTCGCACTAGGCGACAGCTAGGTACACACCCTAGCGTACCAACGCGCTAGTTGTATAAGTGTTCGTTTAGGTACACACCTCCCCCGCCGAAAGGTGGGGGGCTTGATACACAAGTGTTTTAACCACTGACAAGATGGCGGCTATAACTATAGCCGAACTCGCCGACTTCTTCGGACAAGTGTGCCCCGACGCTTGGGCTAAATTCCTAGCCCAACGTAACTCGTCCACCGCTGATTGCCCAGTAGTTCGTATCGACGATCCCGCTTCACCGAGCTCCGGCCGCTCGACCCCTGTGTCCATCAACACAGTCTACGACGCCGCGTCCCCTGCGCCTTCTGCGCTCTCCACCCGCGGTCCTTCACCGTTGTTTTCGGACGCCGAATCAGGCTCCGAAATGGATATTGAAATTCACCGACCTACTAAACCCGATGACGAATGCTTCACCCTAGTCTCGGGTAAAAAGCGTAAGCGCACCGCCGCGAAAAAGGGAAACGAGCCTCACTCGGCCCCTACGTCGCCCAACGCCACTCCGGCAAAAAAAGTCGCGCCTTCCGCGCGCAAAATTACCGCGATTAAAACCGCGAAACCGACTCAGGCCGAACCTAGAAAGGAAAAGCCGCCGCCACCTATAATTTTACAGGACAAGTCGCGCTGGAGCAACCTATCCAAGTGGATAGACTCCAAGAAAATATTCTGCCCCAAAGTCCACAATGGACCACAAGGCATCCGCATCCACGTCGCAACGACGGACGATTTCCGCGCTTTAACTGCGCATTTAAAAGCTCAAAACTTGAGCTTCCATATCTACTCACTCGCGGAGGACCGTAACCTCCGTGTTGTTGTTCGCGGACTCCCTAAAGAGCTCGAAACCGAATCCATTCTAAGCGATCTTAAATCGCAAAACCTGCCTGTTAGAGAAATGCACAGGATGCACCACCCTACAGATAAGAAAAGATACTTCGATCTCTGTCTTGTCATACTGGACCTGTCTCCAGAGGGCAAACAAATATATAATATAACTAGATTATGCAATCTCACGGGGATTGTAGTAGAGTCCCCGCGTAATAGGGGCATCGTTGGCCAATGCTACCGATGCCAATTATGCGGCCACTCGGCTAAGAATTGTTTCGCCAGGCCTAGGTGCGTCAAGTGCTTAGGCGATCATGGCACTACTGAGTGCCCCCGAACGCCCGAGACGGAGGGAAGCTGTGTTCTGTGCGGCGAAGAGGGACACCCAGCGAGCTATCGCGGGTGTTCCAAAGCGCCGCGTAGGAAGCAGAATGGAGGAGCAATCCGGCGCGGACGTGCGGGCAACCCCAGTAGGTCACGCCCACGGCATTCTGCCCCATCGATCGCACCAACCTCGGTGCCGCAACCCGCGCCTGCTCAGGCTACAGCCAAGCCCGCCCCCGTTAAAGGGACTTCCGGGCAAGGCCCAAGCCTTCCGGTGCCTTCAGCACCTAAGCCCAACGCATGGGTTAAGCCCCCGGCGATAGTCAGCGCGGCCGCCTCACGGCCAGTGCCTCCTCGCCAGGCCCAGAAGCCCAAACCCGCCCCTCAGGCACCGTCAAACATCAACACTGACCTTTCGTTAGTGTTCAACTTCGCTTCGCTTTCGCTTTAATGTGGCCGAAGTCACAACTCTAGCCCGCAAACTTCGCGAAGCTAATTCGATTCAGGATAGGCTCAATGCTACCATTGAGCATCTTAGTCTTATCCAAGCGATAGGTTCGTTCCAGTGCGCCTAAGCGACTCTTTTCTTTATTTTTAACTAAAATGTAAGTAAGACCTGTAGGTAGAACCAAGCCTAGGTCTCTGACTGTCGCGTACTTTAATGCAAACGGTATCAGAGATCAAAAGGAAGAGATCATATATTTTTTACGCAATCATGATATCGACATCATGCTAGTGCAAGAGACCTTCTTGAAACCTAGTTTGAGCGATCCCAAAATAGCTAATTATACCCTAGTAAGAAATGATAGGTTGACCGGACCTAAAGGCGGCACCTTGATCTACTACAAAAGGTCCTTGCAATGTATACCGATAGAAACTCCGCCGCTTACTAACTTAGAAGCGTCGGTCTGTAGGATAGCACTCACGGGCCATCCGCCATTAATAATAGCATCAGCATACCTGTCTCCTGTAAAAAGCATATTAGATTCCGACATATCGGCTCTATTAAACCTAGGCCCTAGCGTTTTAATCGCAGGAGACCTAAATAGTAAACACGTTAGCTGGAATTCTAACGTTAACAATTCAAACGGAATAATTCTAAGAGACCTCACGGAGAGACTTAACTTCGATGTTATCGCTCCCGAGAGTCCAACACGTTATCCTTTTTCAATCAACCAACACCCGGACGTTCTTGATATAGCATTGCTAAAAGACGTCCGACTTAGTATTAATTCGATAGAGACTATTATCGAGCTAGTCTCAGACCACAGGCCGGTCGTTTTACAACTGGGCCGGCCGGCAGGTGAGGTCCCTCAGACCAAAACTATTGTCGACTGGCGTAAACTTGAGGTCAAACTTAAGTCTACGAACTCCCAGCATTTGGACACTATACCTGACAAGATAGACTCGCTGGAGGAGGCTGATAGGGCGATTAGCGCCCTTTCGACTCACCTCACAGCAGCGGTTGAAGATTGCTTCCGTAAGGTTCGTGTATCGAGCGATCAATACACGAAACTTCCGGCGGATGTTCGACGGCTGATTAGAGCGAAGAATTCCGCGCTTAAAACTTACGACCGCTATCGCACGGAAACCAATAAACTTCGGGTACGTTCTCTACAAAACGAGATTAAACAACGAGTAGCCGAGTTTAGAAATGATAACTGGGATAACCTCTTAGAAGGTATCGAACCATCCAAAGACGCCTTCTGGAGATTAACAAGAGCTCTTAAAGCCGACAAATCCGCACCGATGCCACCTCTCGTGAGGCTGGACCGCCCCGATCTCGCCCTTGACGATCTTGAAAAAGCCGAATGCCTAGCAGACAGTCTAGAGTACCAGTGCACGCCATCCACCGCACCAATAGATCCCGCTCACCTATTAGAGGTAGAAACGGAAGTAGAACGTAGGACTGCGCTGCCACCAGCGGGTGAACCTCTCGATCCTGTGACAGTGGATGAAGTCACCGATACCATTAAAAGTATTAAAAATAGATCAGCCCCTGGGCCAGACGGCATCAGCAACAAGGTTATCAAATCCCTTTCGGCGCCACTTATTTGCCTCTTAGTAGGTATATTTAACACCTTTCTCACGAACTGCTCCTTCCCGGACATCTGGAAAGAAGCAGACGTAATAGGGATCCCAAAACCGGGTAAACCGCGTAATCGTCCCTCTAGCTACAGACCCATTAGCCTGCTCAACACATTGGCCAAATTATATGAGCGCATTATTCATAAGCGTCTCCGTCATTTCACCGAAACCAACGGACTCCTTCCAGACGAACAGTTCGGCTTTAGAGCCAATCACTCATGCACTCACCAGATTCATCGCCTAACAGAATATATTCTGTCTGGCTTCAGTCAAAACCCGTTAAGAAAAAAGTCTCGAAACACGGGAGCCCTCTTCTTCGATGTCGCGAAGGCGTTTGACAAGGTTTGGCACGACGGCTTGATTTACAAGCTGTACAAACTAAAAGTGCCCGATAGGCTCGTGCACATCATACGAGCTTTCCTTTCGAACCGCTCTTTTCGATATCGAGTGGAGGGAACTCGTTCTTCGAAACGTTTCCTCAAGGTCGGGGTTCCACAGGGCTCCGTACTATCTCCACTCCTTTTCACATTCTTCACGAGTGATATCCCAAAAGACCCCGTAGTTAACACCGCTCTCTTTGCCGACGATACGGCACTCTTTGTGTCAGACCCCAACAAAAATAGACTCGCTATAAAGCTCCAAAAAGCGACCAATCGCCTTGGTGAATGGTTCCGCCTATGGAGAATCGACGTGAATCCCGATAAAAGTGTAGCAGTATACTTTCAACAGAATTCTACAGGAGGTTCTAAACCCAAAACAATCTCTTTATACGACCGCCCAATCCCTTGGGAAAAATCGGCCAAATATCTAGGCGTCACTTTCGACTCCCGCATGAGCTTCAAGACGCACATAAGTGTAGTACGCAACAGAGCCAAGTCAATAATTGGCCGTCTACACCCTCTCGTTAACAGCAAGAGTAAACTGTCCCTAAGACACAAACTCCGACTGTACAAAACCTGCATTAGACCAGTTATGTCCTATGCAAGTGTAGCTTTCGCCCATACATATAAGACCCATATTTGTTCATTCATTCATTTTTTCATTTCATTCATTTCATATTTCAAACAGCAGTAGTATAAAAGAATAATTAAAGAAAAAAAAAGATCCATATTTTAAAACTCCAAAGAGTACAAAACTTTTTCATCCGGAAAGCCACCGGCGCACGGTGGTATCAACGGAACTCTGACTTACACAATGATTGTGTGTCTATCTACCATCTATCTCCGAATATTTTAAGGAGATGTCCCAACGCTACTTTGATAGTGTAGAAACCCACCCTAACCCGCTAGTGACAAACGCAGCTAACTACGTTCCGATAGCAAACTTCGCGTCCTATCTCCGTAGACCGCGAAATGTTTTAATAGAGCCACCAATATCGCTCGATCCAGTCGACCCAAGCGTCGAAGGCACATCACACAACGACACTACACCCACACTAAATGGGACAAACACAAATAGGACAACGAATGGGTTCCAGCTTACACCGCGTACACACCGTACACCCGCGTTCCTGGACGGTTCTCACCGCCAGAGCATCGACCGACACGAGCTGAGCAGTCAGAGACGGGGGTCCGCACACCCCCCTCGGACTGCGGTTAGATAGCTCAA